CTACATTCACACACAAGATTCCTCATTCTATGACAAGGCAACAAAAAAGGTGTACCAGGAAAGTGGGGAGGATGAGTGGGAACATGTATGGAGGTGAGTATCTATTGGAAATACATTTTCAACTGAGAAAAATGTTAACTTCCAATACGAGCACTCATCTCTGTTCACAGAAAGCTAGAAGCCTACATTGAGACAGCAAGCAGCTGAAGGAAATCCATGTGGTGTGACACCCTATGGCAGGGGCTCCATAGGGATACTCCAGTGGAAGACAACATCTTATCTCATCCAGGGTATACTCTTCACCCTTGAGTAGGATTAGAAGAGGCAAAAGACCTTAAATATGTCACAAGGTCTAAGTACTCACACACAAGATGTTGGATGGCCAATAAATGTAGTGAGGTTAGGATTTGTTCAGATCATACCTTGTGTGCACACCCCTCATCTATCAGTCTCTATGGGTCAAAATCAGCTTTGGGAGAAGGGCACTTGTGATAAGTATCCATGCTTAGCTCCTCTACCATCAAATACTTCAGGCACCTTGCTAGTAGTGGGAGGAGGGCACGGTGTGTTTATTTTTTATTGCACACAATTAGTATGGATATTTATATATCCACAACTTGACCTGCAGACACTATGAGCCCCTTGTCTGCTGTGGGAGTAGGGTGTGTAAGCAATACATCACTGATGGATATCAAATAATATCATCTACTCTGCCATCAGATAGAGAGGGTTCAGGCCATTGCAGGATTAGGAATTGTGATAAATACAGATACAGTGATATTTGTTCAAATTTCACTATGAAATTGTGATGTATCTATATATATAATGGGGTGATTCGCACTATACTACGGAAATGGCCCTGCCCCACTTCTCAACATAGAGGGACTCATGGTCTAGTCCCTGGCATTTAAGTCCCAACTGGTGAGGATTCTTCTTGGAAGCTGGTAAGTGGCAAGAATCTTCAGTGCCCCACATGAAGGGGAGAAAGAATACATGTAAAGGAGACCTGGAGAATGTGTATGGATCCCTTTTGGGCACCTGCTGGAAAGGTCTTTTATTGGAGACAGTGCAATGGGTAACTGCAAAACCCTAATTTTTAAAATCTAGCAAGCACTAGCCAGAAAAGTGGATAGATGCACAACTCTGGTGCTGGCTTTTTCCATGATAGGCTATGAAATGGGTACAGTATGGATTGGACTATTGAATGGTTTATAGTAATACTTCAGTAGTCTTGTGAAACACTCCATCTCACGGTGGGCATTGACTGAGCCAAAGCAGATGGTACGAATGCTTTCTGTTATTCTACCTCAATGTGGATTTTGGGCAAGTTTGCACTGGAAGGCAACACTAGCTGCCTAGTGGGATCTGAAAATAGAATGAAGGAGAGTGAGAAATAAGTAAACGAATACTTTCACCTGTTACAGGTGCAGGGTCAATCAAAGAATGGTCATTAGTGGACTCCTGTATGATACTGAAGACGAGACAGCCAAATGGTAGATATAGTGTGAAACGAAACACGTGTGGGGTAGTCCACAAACCAGCACAGAAAATCTCCTAAAGTTGTTCATTGGGGAGCTGCCAGAGACTGTGTAAAAATACGAATCTTGTGAGTGGAGACATGAAATGGTTGATGACTAACCACACCCAAGGAAGAGTAAAAGATCCAGGTGAGTTGGAGAATCCATTTGTTATATGTGGAGAGAAAAAGTATGCTAATACATGAGGGATCCCAAGAAATGAAAAAAATTTTAGAGTATTAATACATCATAATATCTCACAGTGTAGAAAATTCTAGGCCTCAGTTGCTATTTATAATTACATGTCCAAAATGTAGTTGAAATAAGACAAAGTTAGTGAAAGATATAATCAAATAGACCTAGACTATGTGTTTGTTAGTTTAGCTGTAATGAGCATATAGAAGCTGTTGTAAGCGGTCCAATCTGACAAAGAGCACTAGCTCGAAACATCATCCTTCTTTAAATAAAAATATAACAAAATCTTGGTGATTGTTCAACCTATTCTTTAATTTCAATGCATTGAGGGTTGACAACATGTCTTATCTCATCCTCAGGACCCTTCACGTTAAACTAATAAATACATGACTTAGCAGGAAATAATTTACTATTGATGAGCAAACATCAACAACATGGCGAACACAAGTTTGTTCAGTGTATCCGTCTCCAAAAAATGTTCTGGCAGATTGAGGATTAGGATCAAAAACAAATTAATTCTGATTGGAAACTTATCCAGGTAAAAGGAATTACTTGTAGATTTACTTGGCAAATGAGATGAAATGGAAGAACAAACCATAAAATTGTTGGTAACAGTCAATTCAACTTCCTCAATTGAGGTCGATATTGACCTCCATTTGAGTTGTAAAAGAATTTGAAATTTCTGTAATTCTCTTCATAGAATAAATGTTGATAGTAACTGTACTCATGGTTTAATGCATTATGTCTTAGGTGATCATGAAACTAGTGTTATTTCCCAAATGTTTTTGCAAAGCAATTCGAAAAAAAAAATTCACCTACTTTCCTATCTAAATTTTAAATCAGTTTAGGGTTACAGCAAACAAAACTATTTTAAAGCCTGGCCTGATGCCTCCCAAATGATAATCAGTGTATTTTATTTTTACAGATTCTAGTGTACCTATGAAATAAAGAATCGTGGTGGTGGAATGAGGAGGTGCAGGAGAAAGTAAAGAGAAAGAAAGAGGCGAAGAAAAAGTGGGATTCATCGGGCAGCGAGGAGAATGGGGAGGCAGCAAGAACGGCCAAGAAGGAAGTGAAGAAGGCAGTTGTGCAGGCAAAAGCGAGTGCAGTAAATGACATCTACGAAGAATTGGAAACACCGGTGGGAGTGAAAAAGATCTAAAAGTTGGCGAAAAGGAAAAATAAAGCAACTAGAGACCTTACACAAATAAAACAGATTAAAGATGAGGAAGGATGCATACTAAGTGATGAGACAGAAATAAAGA